GTGTGAGCGACCCGACAAGTAGTACTCCGAGTGTGAGCGACCCGACAAGTAGTACTCCGAGTGTGAGCGACCCGACAAGTAGTACTCCGAGTGTGAGCGACCCGACATGTAGTACTCCGAGTGTGAGCGACCCGACATGTAGTACTCCGAGTGTGAGCGACCTGACAAGGACGAGAAATGGCCACTTAAGTTTGACGACTTTCAAAGCTTGAGTGTCCTTGAAAACTGTAACTGTTCATTTCTGATCAACGTTTGCTAGTAAAATCCACAAAGAAATGTGTTTTTTAATTGACGTAAAAGGTTTTGAGCAAAAAAAGAAGAGGTTGTTAAAATTGCCAAACGGACAGAAAATTCCAGGTTCATCGATTATATTATATTGACCAGTGCCTGGTTTCACCACCAGGCCACACATTATTTTTCTGACTGTCTCCGCGAGGAACGAACCCAATCGTCCGTTTGTCCCAAGGCCGTCCCAGAATGGCTCTGTAGGTCTGACCAGCAGCTCGCCTAGCTCGCACCATGCAAACGAACGTACACATAATCGTGTTCCTGAGTAGCGTCGTTGTATGGTCTGTCTGTTGTCCGCTGAACTGCGCGACGCGTCAGACGTGCTATTCAAAAGTGTTGTAAAACACGTCGGACATGTGTCGCACTCAGCCTCGCTTCGTGTTTATTTTCGACTGAAATTCTTCACAGATCATCAAAATCAGCAAGAAATAAGTATTATTAAAAGCTTTACTATTAGATGCCTATGCTAGCATTAACGCTTGACCACAAAATCCCAAGAAATGCACTTTATCCACATTAAAATTTCGAATCGAGAGGTTGACCTAGTTTCGACTGTTTGTTTACATTCGTAGGGCTGTGTGCTTTGAGCCTAGTGCGGCTGTGCTCAGGGCCGTCGAGAGCCTGGTCGGGCCCTGGGGCAGCAATCACCTTCGGGCCCCTCCTCCCCTCTGCCCCACCCACCCTCACCTGCAATTTAATAACCCAACAAATACAATGTACATAGGCATATATAATCACTTTACTGTAGCGTATCTATT